GTTCCCTAGGTTCTGTGACATCATTGTAATATCCGGGATAGGATATCTATCTGAAACGGTGACTTTATTCAGTTTCTGAAAGTATATTACCATTCTTCTTTTTGCCTTTCCCGCCTCATCGGTTCCTTTCTTTGAGACTGTCCAAATGGGGGAATTATATGGGCTTTTGATAGGCCGTGTTATTTTATTTTTTTATAATTTATTAATTTCCTCTTCTACGAATCGTCTATCAGTTTGTGGATAGGGATATTGTCTTACTCATACCGGTTCGTTTGTTTCTGTCCGAATTTCTGCTTCTATGGTTGTARCATATGGTAATAGTTCATTATTATGATTATTTTGCATTAGATTTTTAATCTCCTCTTCATATTCTTGTTCTMCTACAGTGTAGTTTAGATTAACTGATTCTGTTATTTGGGAGAAGCTAATGGAGTAGTCGAAAATATTGATATCTGCTCGCATTTGTTTTAATCCTTTAATGACTATTATGAAATCATAATCCTTGAGTTTATCTCACTCCAAGAATTCCATATCAAACCCTAATAGATTGACCTCTTTTTTATGGGTAATTATTGATTTCCCATGCGTAGTTTTTGTGTTTAACTSTTTGGATAATTTAATTTTCCTAGTATATGGATACTTAGTACTTACATAATTTTCTTCAGATCCTGTGTMTATTAATAAATATACTGGATTGCCATCCGGTGATGTCCTTTGGAGTGTGGGCAACTCATTCCTTATTATAAAAAATTTTTCTGACGGCTGTGTTCACTAGTTGACTGTTCATTGTAGAGSGAATCATTATCGTGCTCGTCTCTGTTGATTTGGTTGAGTTTCCTGTCTTTCAATTGTGGTTGCTGGTTAAATGAATTTTCTCGATCTTGTTTCCTGAAATTGTTTATGAAATTTCGGAAAGGATTGAAGCATTGTCCTTGCTGTTGGAGTTGTTGAGCTTGCTGGCCGTTGTTTGTTGTTGCTTGTTGGTGTTGTGTAGGTCGTCTGTATTGGAAAGAMRAGTCTACATCCATCGGCTMTATTGTTTGTACTTTCCTGGGCTGGTTGAACGGCTGTTGTTGAACATATGGATTTTTTGTAGGTTGATGAATCCTTGGTGAGTACTCTAGGAACTGGTACATCGCATCGTGTTGCATAGTATGCATAGCGTGCTATGACGTATGCTTCCACTATGTTCTTACATCCTCTGGAGTGTAGAGCATTCTTTGTTGCTATTCTTCTGAGTCCTGCTATAAATGTGCGAACTGCTTTAAATTGCACTTCTGTGGTTATAGCTCGTGCCACTTCCTCATTTTAAGGAGACATTTCAATTTTAAACAGGATCAAATTAAATGCTTGTTTGATTTGATCATTGTACATAGTGAGAGATGAGTTATTTTRCTTTATTCTCATCATTTCTGTCATCGAAGTTTAGTTTGGTATTATTATTTATCAGTACTTGTGCGGCTGTTCCAATAATTTTTGACTTTATCATCATGAGTGCTTGGATATATTTATTATGTCCTTCGAAGTTCTTGATACTATCCATTAATTC